ACACAGAATTAACTTGCTAGTATTTGTTTCCAACAAATAACATACTTGTACATATTCTGATCTCAAGGAATCCTAAATCACATGACCTATTAGTTTCCTGTTTCAAGAAACAGGGACAAGTCTCTCATCGCTCACTTGTAACTGATACAGCAAGTGGCTGGTGCTGGCCATTGGTTTTGCGGTATGCAAAACCTTCGTTTGGCAAAGACAGGTTCTTCCAGACTGAAGAGGGTATTCAACAGGATTTAAATGCTTACAGTTCAGCAAGGCACCTACGACATCATCAGGTCCAGCTCCCCCACCTGAGTCACTTCAGCATCAACATAAACAAGTCAAAGTCTATATAAACAGTGACTATTCACAATGCAGCGGAATTCAAATAGGGTCTGTATTTTGAGGTTAGCATCTACTTTTGAAAGCTTGAAACCTAGAGAATTATCTGTGCTCACTGGATTCCAGCTGGCACCACCAAAACATAGCTTTTAACTATCATTTTCCTCTATGAGGAATCAGAAAACTGTCTGAATTTGGTTATTGAAGCAGACTGAGCCAGCACGAGATAACACAGCACCTGCTACTCTACAGAGACGTAACAACCCCAGTACATTTTTCAAAGACTATCCTGTTAAGCTGAGACTGTTCTTTTGTCCTTTCATATGACCACTGTGCAAAGAACTTCCACTCACTGGAAACAATAAGCTGTTTTTGCAAAGAGAAGGGCCTGCACTTCAAGCACTGCAGATACCAGAGACTATGGAAGGGTGGTCAGCTCAGAGGGGCATCCCCTATTTCATAGCAGGAAAAAGCTTTGGAGTAAACCAGCACCTGACCACAAGTACCAGAGTGTTTTGGACACTAAACATTCATGTGAACAGCTGTCAGTGTCTTAAGTTACAGATTTGTCCAATTTTATCTCAAACTTAAGACGAAAAGCTGTAAGATCTTGGGGCATTAAGGCTCCCAGGTGCTACAAAACAAGATCCTAAAATACATTAAACCAAAAGCAAGTGCTTTGCCTTTGGAATCAGTAATTTGAGCTTCAGACCACAAAACAAGAGTCTAAAGTGGTGATAATAATGTAGCACAGCAGAGTTTGACAAAACACAGCATGGGAATGAAGGAAATTACTATTTATTCTTCAACATGTATACAGCATATGCTATTTTACAGCAAGTCACCACTGGCATGGTGAAATGGAAGAGAAATACTCACTTTAGTCGATGAAAGTTGGAAGGCATTGGAGAAAAACACCACAGTTAGGACTGTTAATGACTTACACATTGTTGATACAGGACTGAATTTGAAAACATGCTTTAACATTTACCGTAATAATGAAGGTGGTTAGTGCCACATTAAAATAAAAATAGTTCTATACAATATGTTCAATTTGGTCATGTGCTATTTACAGATTTTACAAAAAACACACACGAGCTTGTTACTTCAAGTCAGGCTACCAACAGGCCAGCAGAGTAACTCCATGTATACAACTGATCATTAGTGCCCTAAGTGTAGGAAATCCAATTTCTAGCTATGCAGTGCAAGTTATTTTTCCAGGTCTCATTACAAGTTTTGATCTTAAGGGGGGTAGGGTGGGGGGAGAAAAACAAAGGATCCAACACATGTAAATAAGGTATTAAAACCCAACTTAACCCCTCTTTTGAACTAAAACAGATTGTGTTTGTTAAAAAGGCTTGGTTTAGACTGAAGTAGACAGAAATAGCCCTCCCTATCCCTGCATAACAGGCAACTGGCAAAATAAGGTCTGTTACAATAAAATACAATAGACAAATAAATAATCTTAAAAAAAAAAAAAAAACAACCCTATGTGTGTTGAGAGTATGGAAGAACCCCAGCAGGCCGCACCTGGAATGATATTTTCTGCACGAGCAAGATTAGGCATACCTCATACAGAAACTGGTGTAAACAAGGACAGTAAAGAACCAAGAGAGAGGGAACAAGAATAGGGGAAACCAAGAAGAAATCCTGACCAAGGTAGCAGGACTCTCTACCCAGCGCAGAAAGTTCTGCTTATGAATAAAACCTGACTTTATGACAAATTAAGTTTGGATGATCATGCAGAAGACAAACAGTTACATGCTTTTTTAGTTTCAGACGACACAAATTCATTCCCTAAAATCTGCTGCCAATTTAGTTTGATAGTGTCCGCTGGCTCAAAAAAAATCTACTTTTTTACACGATGAATAGACTATTGAACAGAACACTGTACATGCTTTTCATCTACAAAAAAATATTTGCATAAAATAGTGTTAGTTCTCTGTACATGTCAATGGACACTTTAACTGTGTATAAAAGAGGAATATATTGCCCCCACTGAAGTCAGAAAAAGCAAAAAACCAAAATCTAGATTATGAAACCTCCATCACCGGCAAATATGTTCATGTGAAAATTCAGCAGAAATAGACAGTTGCTCTAAACAATAAAAAAATTAAGTTAAACTTTTTCTTTGAATGTAAAACTTGTCACCATGTCAGTCAAGACCAGAACATATCACTAAAGTTAGTGTCTGTGCTGTAAAGCCAGATAACCAAGGGCATAGTAATGAACACAAACGGCCAGGAAACTCCTTCGGTGCATGCTGACAAAGAACATGGTTTGGTGGCAGGCCGCACACTATCTTTACCAGGTTCCAGGTAGTTACGGGCCACATATTTAAGTGTTTCATCCAGCAGAATGACAGGTAGTGAGATTTTCAACACCATCAGCCATTGCGTCACATTCAAAGGTGTGATCTGGAAGATAATCTGAAAGAAAAGCCAAGCATTACATCTTTTCTCCGACTCCATCCCTTGCCTTAAGCTCCAGACAAGTTTTTACTCCATCTCCAAGTTCAGGGATGGGTGTTCGATACGTGCACTTACTGGCAGCGGTTCCACATAAAGGATAAGGAAGTGGAGTGACATGGACAAGCAAATAGCGCCCACCAGCCAGATATTTTCCCACGGGGGCATCCTCATCAAGGATTGATTTTCTGATAGACTGCAACAGAAACACAGTACGTTTGTGTATGGAGACACCAATCCACCAAATTCAGCAAATCAGAAAACTAGCTGGAAAGAAAAGCAACATGGCGACTCACAATTATCCCACTAACAAAGGAAATAAAGATACCGAGATACAGTTTATATATATGTTGCAAATTTAAACTACCTTGGAAGTCTGCTTAGCAAAGCAGTCTCAGTTCAGCCTCACATTTATTCTTGAAAGCTTTTGTGAGTTCTGCTCATTCCTGATCTAGTCTACTTTTTTTGTTAAGACCCTGACATCCTCTCCATGGGGGGGTAAGGGAAAGACGGGCACAGCAGCAAAGACAGAATCCTCCCCAGTCTGTTGTATGCCTGAGGACCTACTGCACCCACTTCTGAAGTTCACGTAGAGACTGGCTACACAGAGGTCAAGTACTTGCACCTTCTTAATGCCTGTTCTTTAATTCTTCTCTTCCGCTTCAATCTGCATTTAGGCTATGCTGTAGAAGAGGCTGAGATCCAGAACATCAGATGTAGATCAGTATCTCATTATGTAGGACTACGGCAGTACACTTGTATTTAAAGTTTATTTGTTTTTAAATTAAATGACCTCTAAGCTATTTGAAGAAAAATACCCTTGACATTGTGCTATTTAGTGGCTTCCATTTATAATCTGATATTAATTGGCTAAACCCACACTCCCTTAGGGCAGGAAAAACTATTTTCCATATCTTCAGCATTCTTATTTTAGTTCTCCTTGATATCACTTTATACCAACATAGGAGGGATAATCTGATTGATTAAGCTTAGATTAGAAATAATGGAAAATATTTCAGTTGCTCGCGCTTAGTAAAATACCAGAGTGAATTGGCAGACTTAAAAATAAAGCTTATGATAAGAGATCTCAAATGTTATCTAAGAGAGTCATTTTGTTTGCACTACCAGGATTCAGAAAGGAAATATGACTCATTCGTCATTAGTTGAGCTGTCCATACACTACGAAAGAAATTGCACAAAAGGTGGGATTTTGGATAAGCTATGCAGAAGCTTTGCTTTCCTATTTGGATATACAAACCTGTTGAGAGCATTGCACATCTCTATGGTAACAAGTACAGAAAGAGCCATTGTCATTGGATATGGAGACTCAAAAACCACACAGTCGACACCAGAGAAGTCTGGGTTGTCCTCTTTGCACTGCAGAAAATGGCTCTAGAACAGAACAACATGAACTCACTTCCACAGCTTGTTAACTTTTAAAATGTAAAATAGGCAGTTACGAAATAAGCAGTATTACGAAAACTTTCTAACATGGCTCCTATAAGCACTGGTTTTAAACTTTCACCAGCTTTAGAAAAAAGAAACAGTTAGTCCTTCAAATTGTTTAGAAGCTCAGGTATCCCACCTCCAGAATTTAGTTTTAAGACTAATTAATCATAATCAAGTTTTACAGTAACAAGTCTGAAAATGTATAAAATTACATCCTTTTTCTGCAACCTACTGTTTTTCTACAGTCATTTCAAGTAACAAATATGAAAGCAGCATGTCCCTCCCCTCTCCCCCAAAGATATTAAACTGAGCAAATACCAGCTGATAAAAGGTAACTCTTGGACCACCATCAGCAGCGATAAACCACCAAGCAGCAGCACCCACTGTGGCAGCACCAACATAACCTTAAAGAAAACAAAGTGCTTTTTTCAGTGTTGTGAACTGCACGCAAGAGAAGATCTCACTTGCCACGTTTGAACTTCTACCTCAAGACCTCCAGTACTGTAAAAAAAATAGATTGTAATTAATCTATCTCCTGCGCAAGAAATCTGCTCTACCAGTTGTAACTTAACCATTAAATGCTGTACTAATATCCACTTATGGAAGGTGACGGCTAGAACTTAAGGCAAACAACGAAATCATTTGGAGTAATCAACCTGCAATTTTTCTGTTTACCTCTCGGAACCCAATGTGTGTCTGTCCTTACACTAACTAATACTGAGATTTACTTACTTTAAAGATCTATGAAGTCAGTTAGGAAAATTAAGGTCACAACTTTTGGCATGAAGACAGTGTGCATTAAGTATCCACGTAGATACTTATTCTAGCTTTACACTACTATAGCTATATTTAAAGTTTAAATCTATGCCCACTGCTTTCACAAACTGCTATTCCTTTATTTTCCCCGATTATAGCCACGCCAGCAAATCTGTTGTGTTCTTCTACTTAAGCACAAAAATGGTAGATTAGATACATGACAGTTGTCATTTTCAGATTTAGAAGTAGTTCTACATATGACCTCAACAGCACGTTCGCTAATTGCTGGTCTTGGTTCTTCAATCCCAATCCCACAACATGCTCATCTTCCTACAGCTGACAGTTACTGCATGGACAAGCTAAAATCTGCTGTCTCAATGCTCTGAGCTAAAAGTATTTCAGCCTGGAATAAGCCAAATGAGAAAAGGCAAGTCGGTGGCTTCTTGAGAACAGAGGTCAGACTCAGCCCTAAACCCACCTGTTCCTGAAGGGCTTCTCTCTTATAAGGACTGTAATACCATCCACTACCAGACAATTTTGAAGGTCTAATCCAGTGACTGTCACACTGATGTTATGCAACCAGGGCTTCTGGTGCCTCAGTTGCAACCAATAAAAAAAAAAAATAATTAAAACCCTCACTTTACTGTTCTTATCGCAGCACTACTTGCAAGTGTGCAAAACAAAAGTGTGAATCTCGAAACAAAATAAAGTAAGAATACCAGTTCCACAGAACATCCAATGCTTACTTTCAAGATTTCAGCATACAAAGAGATTAGACAAACTGCTTTCAAGTCGATCTCAAAAAAATGTACCTGCTTAAGTTTAATTAAAAAAAAAAGCTATTACTACTTACATCCAATAGCTAGGTAACGGAAGAAGAGCCATCCACTGATCAGTGGCTCTTTAGGGTTGCGTGGAGGCTTATTCATGATATCAAGATCAGGAGGATTAAAGCCCAGAGCAGTAGCAGGGAGACCATCCGTCACAAGGTTTACCCATAACAGCTGGACAGGAATTAGAGCTTCAGGAAAACCCAGGGCAGCAGTCAAGAAGATACTATAAAAAAACCCACCAATTATAAGCTTATTCTTGTGCATGTAAATAAGTCCTTTTAACGCCTAAGCCTGTAGCATCACTTCTGTTCTTTCATACAGTTATCCATTTAATATCACAACCTGAACATTCACGTTCAGAAAACTAAAACATATCCAAGAGCAAACACTTCTAACCACTGGCATAAGTTTTGAAGCATTATCTTTCTTCTGGTAACTTCAGAAATTTAAAAGAGTTTCTGCTTTAGCCTTATTTTTATTCCCACTCTACTTGTCTGTATAGGTAAATATATACATACATGCATGCATAAAGGCTTGCAAGCCATTTTCTAAAAGACACTACAACTTTCACAGACATAATAGCATTTTAGCTCAAATGACTAAGCTTCATTTAGCTAGATTACTGCTAGTCCCTGCAAAAATTTAATGAGCATGTAGCTTTCGTGGCTCCAAGCCTGTGTGAATAAACAGAACAGAAAAAGGGGCTGCAGCAAGAGCCATATGAAGACAGCTTTGAAGTTTACAAGAAACAAGGCAAGACAATTGCTGTGTTATATTCCACTCCAGGAGAAAGTATGCTTTGATATAAGCAACTGTTAGGAGATCAATATTTACATTCTGTTACCAGAAATGCATCCTGTGGCATTAGGTCACCATTCTTTCCAAAGACACAGAAGACACATTCTTCTGTAACTTGAGGTTAAACAAACATCTAAGTTATACCTGTGGCGAAGTTATCCGAAATACCCGATCTTGTAATATTTGATTAAGATTTTTATTTTCCTATTCTAGAGAATTATTCCAATCAGAAATAATTGTAAAGCATTTAGCCACCTACTGAGCTAGAATATTATATGCAATGCAGTAAGAATCTTTTGTATTATGCTAAAATTCTCCAGTAAAGACTAGGCTAGAAGGATGCAGACTTCCACACAATCACAATGACCAATTACCTAGAGAACCTGTTTCTATGGCTTTAGTGAGAAATACTGGAAGTAATAAAATAACTAACAAAAAGACACTCTATCATCATTACTCTAGTTCAAAGAAAAAAAAAATTTAAACCTACCAAACAACTTCTCCGACATTGGAAGAGATCAAGTAACGGATGAACTGTTTCATGTTGTTATAAATTGCACGTCCTTCTTCCACAGCAGCTACAATAGTTGAGAAATTATCATCTGCTAAAACCATTTCAGAAGCAGTTTTAGCCACTGCAGTACCAGAACCCATAGCAATTCCAATTTCTGCTTTCTTCAATGCAGGAGCATCATTGACACCATCACCAGTCTAAAACAAGAATTTAAAGTTGGAAAAAAAAATAAAATCAACAAAGTGGGCAATTACATATAGGACCATAACGGAATTTTGTACTGGGTGTGGTTTTGGATCTTAAAAAAAAATAAAAGTCACTTCAGCGCAGAGCTATTTTGAGGCTTTGAGTTCAGGGAAATGTGGAAGAAGTGTCCAGAACGAGGCATTAGCCTGACAAGGCATAATTTGGGTTTAAACACAGTGTCTGCTTTTCAAACCAAGTAAAAATTCAATTACTCACCATAGCTGTAATCTCATCAAAAGACTGAAGAAACTCAACAATTTTAGATTTGTGAGAAGGCTCTACACGAGCAAAGCAACGGGCATGGTGGCAAGCATCTCTTTGGGCAGCAAGTGAAAGTTCGTCAAATTCACGACCAGTAAAGGCTTTTGTAGAAACATCTTCATCTTCCACAAAGATACCGATGCGACGGCAAATAGCTACTGCTGTGCCTTTATTATCACCAGTAATCATAATAACTCTAATACCAGCTTGTTTGCACAGCTTTATAGATGAAGCTACTTCAATTCTTGGGGGATCCAGCATACCCACACAGCCAACGAAGGTCAAGTTGGTCTGAAACAAGAGAACACCAAGTTTTTGCGCAAGATCCTGTAGACTTCTCATCTGACACTAGTGCAATAATCATTCTTCCTGCATGCAAAATATGTCTCAGGGTAGTGACATCTGTCTTCACTCTTGTCCACAATATTCTGTGGTTCTACATTGAGCAATTAGGACACCAAGGCCTATGTCATCCTGCCATTTGGTGAAAACCAGTGGATCATGCATTATACACTTGCTCTTGTGTCAGGGTTGTTTTTCTTTTTTTCCTGAAAGGGTTACTTCAAAGAGTTATCTGTTTCACCATATTAAGTCTTCACAGCACTTTAGCTCTGACACTGAATTCAGACAGCTAGAGGAGAACCGAAAGGTCACAAATCTACATGCACATTAACAAGTAAGAGGAGGTAAATGAGAATTTTTAATGCTTTTGGAATCATAATGCTACATGGTACCATCTACATGATGGGCATATATATGGGAGGACACAGTTAATTCCCAGAGCATGACCACACTCTGAAATGGGATCTTTTTCAAACATATCTTGCTTCAAACACACTCGTTTAAAAGCGTGCTCTAGTTGTCAGCCTTGCAAATTCAACCTGCAGGCAGTCAAGTCTTTCTTTTTCGTAATCAGCGCCAGGAGCACAGTGCACGAGCCAAAAACACTAACACAACTGTTGTCATTTCTCCCCTCTAAATCCTAGATACAGATTTCATTGGAAAATTACAGAGTAGCTAAGATAATAATCATGGACGGAGCTTTTGCAGCTGACAGCATGGAGGAAGGGAAGTGAACTTGACCCTCAGAGCACAAAATGGCAGGAAAGTTTCATCACAAAATCCCCAAAGAGGTCTTGCAGTTGAGTAATGTCAAACCATAATACAATTTTTGGAATATTTTTCAGTCTCTGAAAACAGCTTAAGGTGTTATGATCCCGAGGACCTTATGTACGTACGTGAAATAATACAATTTGCAGGTGCCTGTTTAACTATTTTTTTCTTACATTTTTATCCAAGCAGCAGTGTGTAAAACGGCCACCATGACCACACACTAATCATTTTTCTTTTAAACCCCAAAGAATCTAGGGGAATGAAGTAGGAGTGACAGGTGTCAAACCACAGAATACTCCAAGTTTTATCCCTTAAGTTTCTTTAAAGAGACGTACAGTCTGTTCTTAAACTGAGCATTCCCTCCATACGTGGCTAACTATTGTGTTGACATCAAAAATACCCAGAAAGAGAAAATTCTCAGACCTAACTGCCTCAAGGAAGAATCAAACATAAGGAGTCACTGTTCTCCAGCTTGGGAGAGGGAAAAGCATCTTAAAAGGATATTTTACTAAACTTACCTCATAGTTAATGAAATTCGAGGAGTCCTCAAGATTCATTTCCTCTTTTCTGGGTGGATTGTCATGGGTCGCCAGAGCCAAGCAACGCAATGTGTCTCTACCAGTTCCCCATTCTCTAATGACAGACATTATTTTCTGCTTAATTCCTGAGCTTAATGGTATTTTTGCATTTCCAACACGCACATGCGTACATCTGTCAATTACACCTTCAGGAGCACCCTGCAGAAGCAAAAAAAAAAAAGAGTAATTTAGCTTAATAAAACCCTTTTCATTATAAGATTTGCTCAAATTACAAAGTCCTTCCTTCATCTTCAAGCTGCAGTTAGTTGTGCTTTTTGAGTATTGTGCCACCTTTGCAGCCATTCCATAACTATACTTTCTCAAGTGAGGAACTGACCTTAACAAACATCTTACTCATGGATGTGCGGCTTGGTTTGTTCGGTGTACAATAGACAGACATAGACTTCCTATCTCTTGAGAATTCCAGAGTGAATTCTTTCTTCATAAGTTGTTTTATCACCTTATTAAAAAAACCACACACATAAAAATGCATTTAGATAATACATACTACAAAACTCACTCCCCAATTAATTCCAGATAAAAGAGTACTGACCGAGTTGCAGGCATTTGCACGTTCAATTCTAGAAAGTCCTTTCAAGTCTGTGTCAAATACATTCATCTTTTCAACCAGACAGGTAAGTGCCGTTTCTGTGGCTTCACCAACTTTTTCATATACTCCCTTAGCCTTTAGTTAACACAAAGCAAACAAAAAATACAGGAGTTTACTTTAAACCTCACCTGGAACCTACCAGAGACAAAATTTCAAATTTCACAATGGAAAAAAAAGCTTAACAAGATTTATTATGGCTTATGAAACAAGCAAAACTATTAAAAAAAAAAAAAAAAAGAGCAACTTTGAAGACTATGATTCATAGGAAGTTTCAAGACATTATTCTCAAGGCCAGCAGAGAAGGATGACAGTACTTTACCATCAAGCATTAAGTCATTATGAAACGCAGCAACCTTAAGGAGGCGAGGGAAAGGAAGAAAGCAGCAGTGCATTCTACACAACGAGATCTCTCCAACTGTCAGATTACACTTGCTGCCTGGCTTTAATTTTCTCAGTGTTCAACAAACAGGTCATTCCCAGAGTTAATACTTAAGAGGACCTAAACACTCCCCCCTTGACTAGAAGGGGATTTACCACTAAAAGGTATTACATAGACAGATAAGAACAAACATTTATCCTCATTCTCACACTCTCCTCTGTTCCAGGACATGTACTTACTTCGTTGTAATCCAAAGAGGAATCATTACAGAGTGCACAGATCGTTGCTAGTTCCACAAGGCCATCGTACTGGCTACATTTAATAAGTTTGTCATCTTTATGCCTTTCCAAAGGAAGAAAAGGGGTAGATTTAAGTTAGTTATTTAGTATTAGCATGTCACCTTTTTCCCTTCTTTAATCCCTTTACTGCATTTCCATTTAGTACAATGCTTATTCGTTATGGACTTGGAACTACACGACCAGAAATTGTTGAGAAGAGCAGGTTTGATAAAGGCTGAGTTCTGAAGTTTAGATCAAAGAGTCATGAAAGGAAAGACATGATTATCAATGAAATACTACCTGAATTACAAACCCTTATTTCCTCCAGTGACAGTCATACAGCAGCATAGAAGAGAATTAAAGAGGCATATGAAAGTAGCATTAGCGTAAGCACAGGACTTGGAGAGTTCCAAGTAGAAGAGGGATGTTGTTGGGATACCTTAGGAGCGTGGCTTCCTTAGACTTACTGCATATTCTGCAGATTTACTGCCATGCATGAAATGCATGCAATGGGCAGGCATAAAAGCAGGCCTGGCCTCTTTAATTTCTTAAAAATTAATCCGTACTATTCGTGAATCTCCTAAGTCAATGAAAAGCTAAGTCATTTCATAATACCAAATTCCACTAGAAAAGAAATATTCTGGTAGTCTTTCCTAGTAGTTATACACAATTGATAATGAAAATCTGACTTTTTTTTAGAAAGAGGGAAGGTACATTTTCCCCAGAGTAATGCACCATTTAGACATCACAAATAAGAAGCTACTTCGCTTTCACATTTGGAAACAGGCAGTAAATGAATTCATCTTCTGGACCATTAGCATACTTCTACTGTAAACATAAAAGAACCAAGGCAGTATTCAACACTTATTTTTCCCCCCTTACCAAAATTAGTAAGACATAACTCATATATAACACCTTTTGATTATAACTCCCGAGGAGGGGGAAAAAAAAGAAAAAGTCTGGTGGTACAAAGACATGGATCACTACTCCATAAAAATTCATAACATAGACTATGACATGTCCGATTATGTAAGCTTTTGTTCAGTCTCTTGTAGTACTGCAAACAAATGCCAATGTTGTATAACACAGCATGTGAACAAAATGCATCTTAAAAAAACAAGCATATTTTTAAACTTTCTTTTTGCATATAATTTTGCGCAGCCATAAGCAGTGGCTTTAAATGCTGAACTTTCTCAGCAGCTGTCACCTCCTCTATCCCAGCTAATACTTCCTGTTTTCACCTGTTCTGAACTCGAAGACAACTAGCATATCTGAGTACCTGTAACTTGTTACACCAGGGTTTTCCCCCCCACCTTGCCTGCATGTTCCTTATCAACGATTGCTGAAGAATAGCAAGTGCATATGGAGTCTAAGTTGCTGGGGTCCATTCTGGATAAAGGTGGGTGGTCTTTTTTCTTTTCTTAAAACTTCAATCTTTTTGACTAGCTAAAGACCCTTGACCATTGAAGGTCAAATGCAATCTGCTAGCTTTTGCCACAGCTCTCAGTAATTATCGTCAGTTTTATGCTCCCAGTTTGCAAGTAAGCATGCACGTTGCGCGTGCTGAGACATGGCAAAACCACTCCAAACTTTTCAACAATCTCCCAACATCCCTGGGAAATCAGTCAGTATGAAATTTTAGTTTTTCAGTACAAAATAGTTGTAGTTTTATACTCTGAATGTACCTTAGAGGAAATTGATGTATCAAATACTTTGAGAGTAAGTGAAAAATCATTGATTTATCGCAAGAACGCTTAATGGTTACAAAATAGAGCAGGCTGCCTATACAGCTGTGGAAGACAACAATATCTGAAGTTAAGTGCAAAGAAACATCTGTCATGAACAGCTCATATCTAGAGCAGGTCCTGCTTTGGGGCACTGCAATGGACTAGACTGCCTCTTAAGGACTCCATCTAACTTTGCTTTCAGTGACAGTTTGCAATCCAAGGTGAAGTCAGTCACCTTATTTAAAACCCTTACAAAGCCACTGATTTAAAAAAACCAAAACTGTCCATAAATGCAGAAACAAATCAGCCCTAAAGGTTTGAGACTTTAGCTATTTGTTTCCTTATGCTCCAATAAAAGCCTTTCTGTGGCAATTTCCCTTTCACAGAACATTCTCTTATGTATGTGAATGCAGTACGATTAACATCCTTGTTCACATTTCCCCAATTTCAGTAAGCAAAAATAGAACATTAACATACATTGATGACTGTCTTATACTCGACATCTGTCACCACACTGTATTTTATTATTTTGTTTATCTAGAGTTCTTGTGAGACCAGCTAAAGCATATTAGCTGGATGCTTTACAAGATCTAGAATGTCACCTTGTCTAAGTAAATGCCGTCTCCTGAAATGAAAGCGTAAGCTATTGACAGCAATTAGCTTTGAAACAAAAGAGAACTGGGGAATTAAGATTTCCAGCTGCTGAGAACACCATGGTCTTAACTGCTATGAAAATTAAACCGAGATAATCACTATTGAGATCAGTTAAGATCGCATGGAGTCAGAGGCACGCATGTGAAACTCCACAAGGTCGAGACGTTTACAACTGAATCTTAACTCTACTTCATACTTGCAGAATAGAATTCTACTACATAAAACTGAAGTGATGAGATTAAAAACACATGGAACAATTGCCAAGTAGAAGCTGTAACAAGCCAGTAAAAAGATGCTCTCCTTCCAGAAGCAGAGCCCTAAAAATACCTGAAGTAGTCAGGATGAACCACCTATCCCACTACTAGAGACTTGCAACTGATAAAGTAAACCAAACATACCATTCCTTTCCTAAGGGAGTGAGTTTAACACCAGCCCGAATACCAAAGGCTGAGACAAACACACATTTATTCAAGGACAGATGCACCAAGTCCAATAAACTACTGAGGGCAGAGGACAGGAATTTACAGTAAATTTAATAATTTAAGAATCAACTCCAACATATTCATAAGACACTTCCGAAAAAAATCTTCTACCTTCTCTAAGGCAGGGGTATTGGAAACATTGAATTCAGGTTAACAGAGGCTCAGCTGTTCAGATTTACGCAGTTTTATTAAAATAAAAAAGTAAACCTAATTTTGAAGCACTGGGATAGCTAATCTCAGTCCACTAAGATTTCAGTAAAATAAACCGTCTCATTTATTCTTTGATTATCAAAGGAACATTGCAACAACGGAGACTGTATTAAGTAAGTTTCATGAAGGTTTACTTCTCTAGAATTTAACTTCCTTTTACTGTTAATTACTTTCCCCCCTAGCCCTTCAGTGTACATTGTCACTGGTTGAGCTTTCATTTATTAACAATCACTATTGAGTATCACATGCATCACTTTTCAAGGCTAAAGTAATAGTCAATGCATAAACAGACAAATATTTAACTTCAACAGAACACTTACACTTCTCCCATGGGAGCATATGTTGAACCCGTTACAGTAAATTCATTCAGAGAACAGCTATCTCCTTCTACTCTGTCCAGGATAAACATCTGAAATTAGAGTTAGAAGTGTTACAACCTTTGAACAATAATTAATGCAAGAGATTTAAACAGGCTTTAAGCCAGCACACGTATAAGAGGCAAGTTCAGGCTGAATAAACAAACTAGACAAAAACGATACAATGCTCTGGACTTTGATCCCATATGTGTTTGAACAGCTCCCTATACTGAAGCATGAAGTACAGAAAACAACACTTTTGCTTACCAATTTCATTTGAAAATTAAGCTGTGGCACAAGTATATCAAAGAGTTGAAACACACAAACTATGTACACTTAACTTCAGCTGCGAAGACTACTCTCTTCCACTTGACAATCCTGACTATACCCAAGCTCCTCCTAGGCTTCAGGTTTGTGAAAGTGTCTCCTGTCCTGGTTTTCCAGTTATAAGTCACTTTGCCATCCAGTACACTGGTAGTTTAGAAAGAGACAGCTCAACTCCCCTACTAGCACAGACTGAAACATTATTTTCAAATAAAGACACCAATTTGAAGGATACAGCTCTATTCCCGTAAGACACCTGCCTCATCTGAGAGGACAGAGAAAAACTCATGACTTGCTGGAGTGGTAGTAGAAAAGAGAATTTCTAACAGATAGACAGTATTTCTTAATGGAACTTCTGACCCGTTGGTTAGTATAAACCATTTTGCCATACCACATTTTAGCAATGTCTTACTTTCCCCCTCATTGCATTGCCTCATGTTTTAGGCAAGCATCTTCAGGAAACACAGCCTAATAACTAGGTGTTCTTCAACTGATCTGCATCAGTGTCTGGAGACCCTATAATCTTTAAAGTGATTTTAAAAGTCAAAAAGCTAGACAAACTGATAAATTAAAAGCCCACAAAGCAGAGTAAGTGCATTCTCAGAGAGAGATATCACAGGAAGACATTAAACAATCCCTTGAATCTCCTCTGAGAGCAGTACCATTGCTGACCAAAATATTTTAGTATAGAGTTCCTTTGGACACTCAGGAGTTACTACTTAACATGAAAACTAAACTACAAATGGAATTACTGTTGTAAATCAGACTTCTTAAAAAGCTAAGCAATCCCTCTGCTTAGAGTGAAACCAAGAATAAGCGTATTGTTTGCAGGTATTAGGATTCTGCTATGTTTTGGAAAATCTTGCAATTAAGGCTATTCTGTAGCTGTCAGAGGTTAACTAGGAACCAAGTTGTACTGCACAAGATCTAAAACATTTAGCCCTCTAAATATAAGGAGTAGAGCATTTTGAGCTTTTAAATAAACACAACTTAAATGATGAGTTAACTAGGAAGCCTTCTGCTTTTGGCATCTGCATGACGAAAAAAATCCCTGCAAAGACTAGGGCAGTTATGCAACTCTACTGCAAGTAACCTCCTCTGGAATACTGATGAGCAGCTGCTTTGTGTCTCTTAGGTATAAATACTACAATACTTAAGGAAGTAGAACAAGTCAACTACCAATTAGAAAGTAAAAGCCATCAATCACATGAGAATAAAGTGCTTAAGGCTTACAAACTTTTGCTAAAACATACTGGTGTGTAGTGCTCAACATTTACACATTTGGAATTTTAACTCAAATGTAATGACTCTGAACATTTGATGTCATACAGTTGCTACGACACTGAACACCTACAATTATTAAAGAGGAGAACTTAATGTTTTCTCCATAAAATTCCTACACAGAATATCAAGTATATGGGAAGGACAGAGAGCTGGCCATACATTAAGTGAATAGCTATAAAAGTCCCAAATTAAACAACACTAGAAAGAATATTGGGGAAAGGGGGAGAGGCACATAACTTAGGCTCACCTAAAAATCTGCCATACATTGAAGATGACCCTGGCGATGCTGGAGACAGGGTCAACCGTGCCTCCAAGTTGCCAGATTAGTCATATAGTATTGCACTTTGAAAACACTACCGTGATCTACATCAGACCAGTAAGAGCTACTGAAGATAAGATAACCAAGTAAAGGTGGAACCACTCACTAGTGAAAACACCTTAAACTATCTAAGTTGCCATAGTAAATCCTGTACCTTTTTCTCATTGCTAAGTTTCTCCACCATTGTCATCTTGCTAAATTAAAGAGGGAAGTGTTTTACACTTACACCCTGCTTCTACAGTGTAACTATCCTACCTTTCTGAAACACGGGATAAATCATACTAAATAATCACCAGTAGACTGAATGGCTTACAGGCAAGTCAATGGAAAGCCGCTTGCAAAAAACTTTCTCTTCCATCAAGTGTGGGTACAGCTATTTTCGGCCATGACTAAATAAGGGAAGAGATAAAAGCCTTAAACACTACACAGTGGAAAACTGAATTAAAAGTGGAAGCTTATCTTAGGAAAATAAGGCAAGATCTTGATGATATGAGAACCAAAAGACGCGCGATCAAAAGAATTCGAGTAATCCTGACTATTCAAACAGAGTGGCTTAGGAGAAAAAAGAAAAATAGAAGAAGCTAGTTCAACATACCCTGCAGACTGACATTTGATTTGTGGTCAGAGTACCAGTCTTGTCTGAACAAATAACTGAGGTGCAACCCAAGGTTTCCACAGAGGGAAGACTTCTAACAATAGCATTCTTCTTGGCCATTCTCCGGGTTCCAAGAGCCAAGCAGGTGGTAATGACAGCAGGCAGACCCTCAGGAATAGCAGCAACAGCAAGAGCAACAGCAATTTTAAAGTAATAGATAGCACCTCGAATCCAGGAGCCACCGTGAACCGGATCATTGAAGTGACCAATGTTTATTATCCAAACAGCGATGCAGATAAGAGAGATGACTTTAGACAGCTGCTCTCCAAACTCATCCAGTTTCTGTTGCAGTGGGGTTCTCTCTTGTTCAGTAGCCACCATCTCATCACGAATTTTGCCAATTTCAGTGTTTACTCCTGTTGCAATAACCACTCCCATAGCTTTACCGGCAGCAATATTAGTACCCTAATGTAAATAAAGAAAAGGGAAGAGAACAGTTGTAGTCAATCTATAAACAGGTTTTGGTGGTGGGGTTTTTGTTTGTTTGTTTTTTTTTTCTTCCCTAAATTTAACAAAAACCACCTTATACAAGTCCAGACTGTTTCAGCTAGTATATGGAAAAAGGTGAAGAGGAACAGAATGACATTCCCCCAGTATCTGTAAAAGGCTACTCCAGTGTAGGATTTCTGCTTACAGAATGGGCTCAAAATGGATCAGTATTGATCTATTATAAGCAGCATAGTCAAACTCAGCTGCTGAGTAAGCAGTATATATTTCAACTAGAATCTTAAATGTGTTTTTCTTTTCTTTTTTAATTAGGATTATATTTTGTCAGATTTAATGTTATTTACTATGAGTAACAGATGTGTTCTGTGGGGCTCCCTGTGGTTATCTGAAATGCATTCAATGCTTCCTTTAAACAAATTTAAATAAACTGTTTCATTCTCATACAGAAAGCTAGCTCTCCATTTCAGCCACACAATATCACAATTCATGTGGGCATTCTTATCAGTCTTAAGAACTATTACTTTAGAAATGTAGTGTGGAAGCATGTGCTCCAGCTTTCCTCATATAAACTGTTTCAACAAGCACCTTCTCTGAGGACAGCTTTTATTAAAAGTTACTTCTAATTTTTAATTAATTTATCCGATGTACATGAAGACATCCATATAGACGTGTATGGAGAATACAGCAAAGAAGTCATACAGCTTTTAGGTGAAGACCTGGAGTTCTGCACATTTTCGTTTATCAGCTTCAGTGTTATTTTATAAAAAAGTTTTGAAAATTTCAAAACAAATAACTCACAGAAAAAAGCATGTTCTTCTTGTCTTGGTTTACAGCACGAGGATCAGGCACAGGGTCAGTGTGCTTAATAACAGACACAGATTCACCTAAAATAAAGATATAGTCTTAAGAAAAGATGATACATGTATAATCTTGAGTCCTGGAGGGAATTGAAAAGTTATAATCCTCAATCCTAAAATTTTTTTAGGATGTCAAATTTCTTTTCTCAAACAATTTTACTTAATTGCTTAAGTGAAACAGGAAATATTTCAGCCGACCAAAAAAAATTTACTGCCTGGCTTTTAATGAAAATTAAGAAGGAAAGGATTTAAGTAAACATTTAATATAGTTAGAATTAATGAAGCACACACCATGTTTCTTAGGGAATAAGAAAAGTGAGCAGGTGATACCCCACTCCTCCATTTAATGTAGCAAGATCTAACACATGAATTAGATTTTGTGTACTTCTCATGCAGTAACGATAATTTCTGTTCTCTAGGCACTGGAAGAGGTATGTTCTTATTTAAATAATTAGATGTAACCATGGTTATACATCTGTGATGGTATGCATCACAGTTACAGTGGCAGACCTTCATTTTTTATTTATTTAAGTGTCATGCAGCCATCTGTTGGTTAACTGTAACTTTGGGGCCTGTTTCAAGACAGATTTGAGGATCAAAAATAGGTTTCTTATGAATACTTCACTGTTTTAAAATTCCAGGCTAGTTAACATTAATTTATGCTACCAAAACAGGCAGACAGATCTTCATGTTCCAGCTGAGAGAAAACTGTTATAGCATGCTTGGTCGATTCCTAGCTTCTTTCCTATATTCAGAAGTACTGCTACTTTGTTTTGTTTTCAACAAATCTGAAAAGTACTCTAAATATAGCTCCTGCACTGGACAGCCGGTATCAGAAAACACATGAATGTGCCTGCACAGAATTTCAGCAAATAAGGCTTTAGTGTACTGAGTCTTCAGTAACAGCAGTTGAAAAGCTGCCTGTATTTCAAAAGTTTCTCTCTTGTGAGAGAAAACGGGTAACGGTTATGGAAGACATTTAGTAAGATTTCCATACTTTTCATATTTGACTAGTGACAAGATGTTCAAACCTAGAAGACAGCATAAACTAGAATAAAAATTCTTAACTATTTTAGTTTCCCCACAAGTTACTGGTGTGTGTCTCTGGGGATGGGGTGGTGTGCGTATGCCAAAAAAGCATTACAAGTCTCAGTAAGAATGTCCCTCCCACTAAAGTGAACATGTAAAGCCAACAATGAAGCAACACATTCAGTCACTTTAAGAGTTAAGTTACTAGATCAGAAATTCACTGCACTCGAATGCAACATACTACTTGAATAGCTACAGGCTTGTTTCTAATGGATTATTCTAAACAAATGGTGAAGAGGCAGTTTCAATTATGCACATAATTATCCAAAATTCACAGAAATTATACCTGTGAGAATTGACTGGTCTACCCTTAGAGTTGTAGATTTGATAGAAGTAATTCTTATATCAGCAGGAAAAAACAGCAGGAACCTTGTCTCCAACTACAAAGAAATGAACAAGACAAAATTAGAATTGTGTTATTTGAAAGATTTCTAACCAAGCGTACTATTACCTCTATCAGCCAGGAAAACGATTTTCCAGTAACTGTTCAGATGACTAAGACTACTAACAGCTTATTACTGCTTATGTGGTTTACAATACTCTAGTTTTCTGAGTATCCAATATACTTTGGCAATTTACGTTTGCCTTCAAGATCTCCACCCCTACCTAACCTCAAAGAAAGAAGTTGTAAAACACTGGATTGTTTTTCTAATCATATGACTACCACTTGACAGCAAAAGGAAAACATCTCAAGAGAAAGATGATCAATTTCAGAATACGTATTTACAAGCAACCAAAGCCCAAAGCTAAGGTGAATCAAGTTTCCTTTTCAGCACAATTGTCCTGGAAAGTCTTCTAGTTGTTTTCTCTATGCCCAAAGTCAGACTTCTGCTCTCCAATGATCAGAATGTTATCCACATTTATTTATTCAGAAACTAAAAGAAGCTGTACTTTCCTTTTCTTTGGCACCACTTGTGAGAATAATACGCTTCTGCAAATCTGCTCTTCTAATGTTATACTTTGAATGCTGCCAGACGTTTCAGAGTTGGAAGTTAATTTCAGTCCACTAGCTTTATTTTTCAGTAATGCTACATATTAAATATACCACAATCCATATCCCTGTTAAAATTTTCCCAGGACTCTATGTGATGTTTATCTTGTCACATATATTTCTACTTTGCAGAAGACAACAGTGGACAACCCAAACCAACCCACAAACCAAATCCTCCTCTAGGAGGTGTTCAAGACACCAAGGCAGCAGAGAATACAAGTTAACAACACCCCCCTAAAGACAGCAGGGAGTTGTGAAGTCAGGTCCCAGAGCTGCGTGGCCAGTTTAGCTCCAGCATCTCTATCATCCCAGAATTAATTCTTCCACCTTCCTACTTTCTCTAGCTTTTCCTAGTTTTGAAGAAAGAAAAGCTCCACCATTTTGTGACTATTGCAAATAAATGGCTGCATGCAAATTAACTTGCTAAAGCACATTGAGAGTCACGTTTCTGACTCATATGGGGGGGGGTGTGTGGTTCTACATTCTGCAGTTCAGTATCGCTAATGAACGCATATAATCAAACATTCCTAATGTAATTCAGCACCACAAGTATTCAAGTGTCGACTCCCTTTTTATTATAAAATAATGCAAAGAAACAAAGAAGGGGGAATCTAGCTAAAGAGAACTGATCTTCTCAGTAGATGGACTCTGTGTCCCTGCAGTAAAATTAAAACAAGCTGCAATTCCTGCAGGAACTGCTTATGCAACTAACAGCAATAATGCACATTAACAAATAATACCACGAAAAACTCTGCAGTGGTTTTACAGCCTTAGAAAACACAACCAACCACTCACGCAGGAAAACTACGGAACAAAATGCTAAAGAGAAGAATTAAGTGCTGCTTCAAACGTTAAGTAAACTTGCACCATGTGACTTTAAGGTCAAAGAAACCGTGTCCTGGTTAAAATCAGCAAAAGATTGTGTAGTTTTGCTTGTGGACTTAGACATGCGTTTTTGTAAGCACATATATATGAAGGGACCCAAAAAGTAGCCACAAATTCTCTCTTTGTATCGTTATAGCATGTGAAAACTAATTTAAGCCACAATGCCCTTGAGCAGCAAGAGAAAATAGCCTTAGACAAATGGTGACCTAGGCCAAAAATGGCAAAACTATTCAATATGCTCTCCTGATGTCGTGAGGAGGTTTATATGCAGACATGTAGTAGCAGCTGGTTTTCAGATATCACCGAACAACAGGCTAATGCCTCAGTGCAGTGTGGTGTAACGCCTGTCAATCTGCATAAACATTTTCAAAGCACTTAAAGCAGCTGGAAAACTACAGCCAACTCCACCACCCCACCACATTTGACAACACTGTTAAAGACTTAATCACTCCCTAACACAAAAAAGAAGCTGTTAAAAAAAGTATCTTAAAATATTCAAGTAACCGGACAGAACATATGGCAAAGTTTACAAGTAATTTTTCAACCTACTTCTTCTGAACAGCTCTAGGTTGTTCAAACTCAAACACAATATTCACAAGATCTGAAGTACTAGGAGTGACTCCTGTCCTGGGGGACTGTTGATATTCGAGCATCAGTATTTCCATGAAAACTACTACTGTTGTTATCAATTGCCTGAATCACCAGAATTGAAGTGTTAAATTTATTATGATACTGCAGCTTTTTAAGTTTATCTCAACAACTTAAGATAAGACACATTATTCACTCACCCTCTCCGTTTGGGAAGGCTGTAGTAAAATATTCAAGGCATTTCCAAAAGGCAGGAAAGCTGTACATCAGGGTCAATTACAGAACTATTTTAAGCAGCTCTTTGCAAAAGAACAGCTATGACACCAAGTCATTTATAGTCTTGAATATACTTTCGCGAGCACAACTGAAACTGAATATAGATAGGAAATCATCCTATGATAGATAGGAACCCACAGGAAATTTTTAGTGACCAGTCTAGTGCAGATCTCATCTACAAGCAGAAGGCTTTTTCCATATGCAAACAAATTGGGGGGGTTCTTGTTTTTTGGGGAGGGGGCTTTGTAAATTCAATTACATTTCAGTCCACATAATCAGTAGAATTATTACCCAAGGCTTGAAATACAAGAAATTAGAAGTGGAACGTGTATTTGGACAGTACAAGACTATTTCAGTCTAAATGGATATAATCCCATAGTTTTACATCTAAAGTCAGTTGCAGAAGTGTTTTCATCCATTATTTTAACCAGTTTTTAATCCTAGTCACTTGATTTCTACAACAGTGCTGAAGAAATCAAATAAGCTACTTTCAAAACTGCCCAGATACATATCCTTAAAGCATAGTTTAGCCAATTACATTAACTACTGATTAAAACAACCCTTCTAACTACAAAATTGACCACTTCTTGGAAGAGCAAGAGCAGAATTTGGTTCCTATATTACAGCTTTACTTATAGAATCCTTCTATTCATGCACAGAATACTATTTTAGAATTTTAATACTGAACTTCAGCACACAATAGAGGAATCTATTTAAAAACAACCTGGCCCCTCTAAAGGCGTAAAAAAACAAACAACCCCTTTTATTTAACTGTTCATGAGTCTGTACCGAAGCAGACAAGTTACAGTTTCCACTCCTTAATAGAAACTGGTGTGGCATTTAGTTGCAATATGGATTTAAAGTTTATGTCAATCGTTTTGAAAAAGCCATATGCCTTCACTGAAAATACAGACAATTTAATATCCAAAAATACTGGGTTCTTTAGCTACCTATAAGTAGCAATGTTGTCTTGCCAAGACTCCCACTGATTGTACCTAGCCTTTCTTCTCAAGTCCAAAGCTCCTCCCAGTGTTGTGGCAATGTTATAGGTCAGTTTCCACTCTATATGTACAGTCATTTACATATATGTTTGATCATAAGCACAGTACAACCCTACTTATCAGAGCACATCAAGCAAAACAGCTGCATTTGCAGAAATGATTGCAGCTCCCCACGAAGGGGCCTCCTCATGAACAAAAGTCTTTAGAGGACAATCAAGCATACAGACTGCCCTATTCAATTTGCAAAGTTACTTTGAAAGAGAAGATGATCCAAGTCTCCAAACCAACATCATAGAAGATATTAAGCAATGAGAGTCCCAATTTAATACTTGGTGGTGACCAAGTCTTAGACTGAAACGATCAACTCATTATCTAGGCATTTCATTTGAGCACTGATAGCCCTTTTACTTTACCAGTTTCCAAGATAGCAACAAACATTTAACTTCAGAATTCTGTCGGAATACAGTTTGAGACACTCACTGAGAGACCTCTACAGCCAAAACGCCAAAACGCACTGTTAGCATGTTACTGGCGAGATCAGCCTGTGGTTTAAGCAGCCCAGGAAGACAGCCAGAAGTGATGGCATACATGTTCTATGAACAATGGAGCTGGAGGGAAAACAGACTATTAAAGATGCGTGGATTTTAGTCCCTGTTATATTTTCAGCTACATCTGGGTATCAACAAAGAACTTCAGACTGCAACAGGACCATACTTATCTTCCAAGTCTCAAATGATATTCTACATCTTCTAACAAAATCATCAGTGGCAGTAGGCTCAGGAACCAGTATTAACTTTACCTCCAAAAAGCAACTATGATATACAGGAGTCCTTAAAACAAAATTACTCCTTTAAATGTGTACTTTGAACACCATTATCAGCTCTGTCAACTGCCACTGATTGCTCCCACAACTGAAGACTTGCCAAGAGGACATTTACAGACAGGTATGTTACACAAAGTGAAGAGTTTTGCTTCATTTTTATGTTAATATAAGTGTTACAAGAACAATGCATCTTGTTAGCAAAGAAAGTGATCTGTTTGCAAAAAGCCCATCGAAGTGATCACAGTAAGTGAAAGTAATTTTTCCTGTAGAAGTCAGAATGGTTCTTCATATGCAACATGGACTTAACACTTTCTTATTTATGTTTATCATTAACCAAAGCTAGTGTCAACCTATATCTGCTATCAGCAGGTTGGGGTTGGAAGTGGACTCTTGCAATAAAGATTATCAGCACAGCTCTAAACTATTTTGCCACTGTCGTCTGAGTTAGTGACATTATTTTTTTTTTTTAGGCAAGTTCTGAAGAACTGGGACACTATTTCAACACATGGTCGATCAACTCAGGAACACAAACAACAGTTCCTGAAATGGAGTAAACACATCCCCAGAACAACTGCAATAAAACATGAAATGGAGAGGACAACAACAACAAAAAAACGCAACCAACACACATTTTGTTGTTTCCCCCCTTTTAAGTGTCTTAATAGATTAAGGTTCATTGTTGACACATTCCATGTATTTTGATTTTTAAGACACTATGGTCTTTCTCTTATTAGGATGCTCTAATTCCATCAGGTTAGGGTAGAAATCAAATTCCTACCACAGTGCTGTTAAAACATCTGATTCAAAATACACTAT